TTGCAATACATGCGCTAACATTGTATAGATACTATCTAGAGAGGTTACTGTTGGTTTTAAGTATTATGTGTGAATAAAGCAGGACACCACTCGCAACCTTGGGTTTTAAATCACAAGAAATGATAAAACACAAATTGTCCAATTCCCGCGCACAGTTTTGTGACAAACCAGCGTTTCAAGTAAATAACTCCCTACACTTTAACTGAACGTTAGCTTTGAAAATAAAATTGTAAAAATATGTATCATTTAAGCCTTAAGCTTATCGAAAAACGTGTTTCGCAACGGTTCTGTATCATGGCGGCAAGAGTCGACGCAGGTCACGTTACCAGCACATCCATATATATCATATATTAAACACATGTGTTATATGATATCTATGAGCTCATGCTGCCTTCATAACTTTCAGCGCTTGGCAACACCGCATAGCAACAAGAGACGCGTCACAACATCGCCGCAGAGCGGAAAAAGTAAACGCTGTTTGGAAAATTCGACCCGACACTTTCACTTTGTCGTCCAAAAGCTTTGAATGAACGTATTCCTGAGCAATTTTTTTTATCTATCACACATATATAGGCAAGTATATACGTGCAATGTTAAAACAATTCATTTTTGCCTGATTTTATGTTTGCCGCTTGAAAGTTTGAGGCAGGGGCACCTTTAAACAAATAAAAAATTGTAAAAGTTGAGAATATTTCTTAATAAATGTGGGGGTGTCAAAACTGGTGCAACTATGACTAGAACAACAAAACTACAACCATGAACTAAAAACTAATGACCTTTAACCCTATTCTAATACGTGGATGACACAGTGCAGCGTTAGTGATATATCAGGGTTCTTTCCAGGCCTTGAACGCATGTCAGGTCTCACATGCCTTTATTAGGCTGAAGCTAATCTGCGACATCCTGTAAATCATCCAAATTAAGTGCCTTTATTTTCTAATTGACATGCCTTCATTTCTAGCTGTGCCCACATTTGACGATCTCAACACAATAATGCTGTTTTCACAGCTTGGTGTATACATATCTACACTAATAGAGTTTACCTGTTCGTTGGGGTTACTTTTGACATGTGTAGTTGACTCCAATTGGTAAAACCCCTTCCCGTGCCCTTCTCTATGTGCCCATAAACGGTATGCCTTCTGAAATTCTTGGAGAGAACACTGGTGGCCAATCATTGCACAATAACATACATATGCCTCCATATACATGCGCAGTGCCATTAGACTTGTTCCTAAACATTTTTTCTGTGTAAAATCTAAGATATATCCAGTTGTGATGCAATATGTCAACTTGCAAGTCAGAAAGTTAATAAATGCCTCTTATTTTATTGTAAAAATAACTAGTAATATGTAACATATAACCAGAGAGACATGGTACAAGATTGCGTGGCACAGCTTTGCTGTTGGTCCCGAGTGCTGCGCGCGGATGAGACGCGCAGTACCGCGGGATATGCGCACGCGATTGCGGGGATGTTGAAGTATGAAGCGCTGTCCGCAGTGGAGACGTGCGCCAAATTAGAGGCCCGGCACATATGTCTCCACAGCAGTCAGCGGATGGTCTGTAGTTTTAGAAGATAACAATGAAGACTTTGTTCTAAATAAGAACTATCGGCGGCTAAATAAGAGCAACATACAGACAGCCCTTTGAATTTCTAGGCAGTCAAAGGGCTTGTTGGTGGTCCATTATGCAGAGCTTCCAATTGAGATGGCCCATGAAATTGTCAAGTGGAATTGTGTTTTTCGGAACCCCAAAGAAAATGTCTCCCTCTTACATGCACCCCCTCCCTGATCAATCACGCATTCACGTTATCATCGCAGTACTCCCGACACCACCCATCCTGATGTCACAACGCTATATGTAAACAAACACGCGTGTTGTGTGGTGCATGCCTCCGATATCCATTTCGAGGCCCGCTAAGCCAATCTTAAAGCTCACGAGTAAGACGTCACACACACAGCTACGTTCATTGGCTAAAACAATCGAGTAGCGCGGTTAGGGATTTTCGGAATTATTTAATTTTAAGAAAAACTACAATTGATGTTCAATGAATGATGCAGTCGATCACTTCTGACAGCGAGTGAAAATGCCGAAAATGTTCCACTTCGATGCGAAATGCATCGGCCGGGCATTTCATTATTTACGAAAAGTCAACAGGCTGGCGAAAGACAGTAGACCTGTACAGTAACTGGTCACGTCGGTGATGCCCCATTTATGCCCATCAACGAAGAAGGCGGGGCTTATTCTGATTACGGAGATGCGAAAATGCGATAGAAGGACGTAGCGCAGTGCGCTAAACAGCGTGTTATTTTTGTATTTGTGGCAAACTCTATCGTAGGAAATGATTCTAGCATAGCAGAATGCCATAGTTCCTGAGATCGGCGATTTGGTGGTCCAATGGGTCCCCATCTTTAAAAATATAAAAGACTGGTGCGGCATAGGCTGTGATTGGAAGACACAAATTGTCAATCCTCGGCGTGCCTCGTCATCAGGGCCGCATCACGTCTAGTTGTTTTGGTGTGGTGATATGCATGATGATGAAATTCTGATCATAAATATATTTTACTCCGTTATTCCAGTGTACAAGATCAATTTGGGACAAACTTTCCATGGAAAAGGACTGAAGAATTTCACAGGACACAGAAAATTTTGAATAGTTTAAAGACCATTAAATATGTGGCTAAAGATTGCGAAAGGGATTGTGGCAATTTTCGTAATCATGAAAGTGATTGAGAATCCTGTTGAGGCATATGCATTGTTCGTATCAGTGGTTAGTAACATCATCAACTACTCGTCCACAATCTTATCTATATTCAGCAATGTGGCTTACACTATCCACATGATTTTGGATGTACTTATGTATGTCGCAACGGACATGTTTAGAATAATTGTCATTGTTTTTGCGTATGCAGTGGACTTACTAGTTCAGGGATGTATTCAGGTGCTCAGCTTTGTTGGCGCAATGTACGAAGTATTCATCGTCCTTTGTGAGCACACAGAAGAAAGAATAAGGTCATTTAACATGGCATCCTTGAGTAGAAATTGGTATTCAGAAAATAAGATAAAAGAAGCTCTAGTGAGCATAAATAATTTGTATTATGTAGTAGCCAGTCTTTTCATTGCTATTGTAATTCATTGTTTTTTCCCATATGTCCCACTATTTGTATTCAATTTAATATTACGTGTATGCTCTTGTTTTTGGTGTCTGATTTACAGTGTAATTTTCATAAAGATTCCAGATTTGATAAAAACTATTGTGAGTAGAAGCAGTAGACATTGTAGAAGTCATAGCTCTGTACAAAGTGGTGACTCCGCAGAGGAAGTAAACAGACAGAATCTTCAGCGGATTGTAAGGATAGGCAGTGAGGATTCTGGCCCGGTCGAGAGACATCCCTCTGTAGAGGAAGCAAGCAGACAAAATCTTCAGTGGATTATTAGGAGTGGCAGTGTTGATTTAGATGCCGATGATAGTGTGCATACAGACAATGATTCAGCCTTTAATAGCTGTCCGCAATCTTGCAACAGAGTGACACATAGTGGTGCAGAATGTCAGGTGTTGCCTGCTGCCTCAGCTTCAGTGATTACAGACTCACCAGCTATGGATGGTGACACGGAAAGTTCACAAGAAGATCCTGATCGCTTCTTATGTGTTATCTGTCAAGACGGGGAGAAAACTGTACTTTTCTTGCCTTGTAGACATCTCTGTGTTTGCGAAGAATGTGGCACAAAGGCATTAGCCCAGAAGTGCCCAATGTGCCGGGAATATGTTCATCGTATCATCCACGTATACTTGTGAGAGGCGTTAATTCATCCTCGCCAGTCGAGCTGGTCTTCCTGCAAAGTTAACTTTATCCATTTGCTTACACATGGAAGGAAAACAGTACTACGTAGCTTTCAGTATTATTTTCTGTTGAACTTGGGTTTAATAATACACTCCCATAACAATTATACATTTGCAGTATTCAGCAGAAACAAATACTGTGTGTGAAATCTTGCTGGTGGATGTTTATTGGTATTGACAGCTGTAGTACCCTTCGGTTGCTCATACAATTTTATGTAAGAAATGCTAGACATTCATTTGATTTGGGTTGAGTTTATTTCTTAGTGTTCATTGTTGCTGTTGTTGTTGTTGTGTGTGTGTGTGTGTGCGTGCGTGCGTGCGTGCGTGCGTGCGTGCGTGTGTTGTTAGAGTTCCCTGTGAAACCATGATAATTAAGATACCAGCTGAGCAAGCTAGTTTTTTCTCATGTGTATAATTTTATGTGACACATAATGAAGTACATTGTACACCAAAATTATTATTGGAAAGTATGACACGCTTAGCCAAGTATTGCAAATGCATGGATATATTTTTCATGTGCAGAGTTTTTGTAATATATATTTAAAGTAATTTTAACAACTGGTTAGAAATAACGATATAATGAATTCACGAAATTATAATGCAGCTGGCTGCATTAATATTGTTGGTTTATTCAATGTACTAGTAGCCTTGATATTTTCGACTGTGTATGGTAATAACACATCGGAGCTAATTTGGTGGCAAAGAAAAACGGTTGTAAAAAATGCACTCATAATTTGTTTTACTGTTGAAAGATTTGAGTATAGAGGTCAAGATCATGCAGTAATATCATTATGGGAATGTATATAAATTATATAAATTATAATATGTGATTATATAATCGTTAATAAAAAATGTAATTTTTATGGATTTTTAATCATTTTTGTCATTATTGTAATCTAAATTAAGCAATCTGAATTTGCTTGATTCTTAACATATCAAATCTTATAACATATCATTCTTATTGTAATCCAGATTCTGTTCATTTCACTGTGACTTAGACTATCGTGGGAAGCAATATAGAGTAATAGTAATTAGTAATAGTTAGACCAATAAATTGTGCCCTAAAAATTTTTTTATTCTGATGTTATTTTAGGAACATCAGAATAACATCAGAATATAACAATTTTTAGGGCACAATTTATTGGTCTAGTAATAGTGGGAATGATTTTTCGGCGATTGTACGTTTAATAGAATATATTGTCTTATCAAGACGCTTTGGTCTTAAATTTGGTAGCTTTGGTCTTTTGTTTATAAAGTAAAACTCCAGCCGAAGTGGTTGGCAACTTACACATTTACACTGGACTGGTTCCTATATAGTTCGTAATCGGCGATCATTGTCCGATTATCATCGGTTGAGTCGGTCGATTATCATCGGGTGATCATCAGTTTATACGTGAAAACAGTGAAAACAACTTCGTTCGCGGCCGGTAATGCTACCCGTTTCTCACCATTATCGCCCCATAGTATTCAAAATGACCGGGTAGATAGTCGACAAATGGGTAACCGAGCGAGCGAGCGGCGGCAACCGTACGCGTACGCGGGCTATAGTTACTACTACTAGAGCTAACAAATGGCAAGATAAACAAAGCAAGCAGACGTACAGTCACGTACTTGCTTGATGATCTTTGTTTACCTCATGTGAGGCACCACCTGTCGATTGGGGGTTTGGGGAGGAGCGGTGCTGTATTTGCACAGCACGATTGGTCAGCCCGTCGACCACGTGGTTTGTGGAGGATGCGGCGGCGACGCGAGGTTCGCGGCATCGCCAGATTGAGCTCCTGAGGCAGCGTGTTGTGCAAGGAGCGTGTTCTCTCTGTCTCTGTGCGTGTAAATAAGCGGTGAAAGAGCGACGCGACGCGTAACTAGGTACGTGTACGTATTGACATATTGAAGTTTGACATGTCAGGATTCAAGCTAGGAATTCTACGTTTAGGAAGAGCCGCAGGCAAGGTAAGTTGAATTGTCGGATTTTGCAGAACTCTTGGCGTTTTCGTCTTGATGCCTGTGAATTTAATCATCTACGTTCCGATATAAAGGGTCATGAGCTTTATGTTTACTATATCATGATGTTTATCTCATCTAATGACTTCAGCCATGTAATCATAGTAGAGCCGGATGTTGAATGTGGCACTGGGCTAGGGGATAAAGTCAGAAAACAGCTTGCCTGTCATATGTCTCCCGGCATGGTGTATTGCCTATTGGTGACAAACAATCACTGGCCGTTCCAACAAATCAGCAAAAATAAAAATAATGTATAATAAATCTTATTGCACCACTAATAACTCTCCTATCTGCGGTAAACATTACTAGTGTAGTGGATAATACGTGAGGGTTAAATAGAAGTTCACTACTAAATCAGCACGTTCATAGTTTAAACTTGAATGACTTGTCTGGTGCAGACTGTCTATATAGCTACAGAATGTATAAAATCGAATACTAAAACGTTTTATAACTAGTAGAAGTAGGCCTATACCTTGGGTTTTACATGGTATTGACTATTGATCTGAAGTGAGAAAGATGATATGCAACAGAAATGGCTAACATGCTGGCAAATTACCAGTATTATGTCGGTTGAATCCTCTCATTTTCGGTGGAACTTGCGTATTTTCAACTAAGTTATGTTACAACGAGATATGCGACGTACGTGAGATATCATATATAGTACCTGGCTATAGTGTATAACTTAATTTATTGCTAGAAGCACACACGTACAGTGACGTACGTTCCATGTTGTGGCGAGGTCGAACTAATTTCAAATAAAATTATCACTGCAATTTTGTCTGTACCAGAAACACCATACTGATGGATCGATTATTCACAAAACTATAGTTAAAGATAGGAATCGTACGTTTTCCGCCATAGAAGGATATCTAGACCTTCTATGACTTGCTGAATCATAGACATACGTCACATAGGTTCAGACACCGACACCCAAATAATTTTGCCAACACGGCGTGGATCGTGATTGTTGAAAGCCAAGTCCATGTAATTTATCAAGATAAAGATATGTGTGCAGGTGAACTTGCCGATGTATACTTGTAGCCACATGCTTTTCAATCTGTTTAAGAGTGCTCGTGGCATATTAGACATGAAATTTTGAAACGAGGATTGATTGAATGATTGTCTGTCTGTCTGTCGTCCAGGCAACCAACCTGGTGGCCTATCAATAAATGTGTACTACAGTGTGTACGCCATGTAAGGAAACTCACAGGCACTTGGAACGTCTCAATAAAATAAAATAAAGGTAAATAAACACGAAATGTATTTACTACTAAAGTCTTAATGTTTCTCTACTCTATGTCGCTTATTATTGCCAACAATTACTCTCTTATTCATGTTGTTTGTGCACAGGGCGGGCGTGCGGTGTACTTGTGTGTTGCAGATGAGCATTTGACCGGCATTTACGGGTAATTATCGGCAATAATAGGGGACATAGAGTAGAGAAACATTAAGGCTTTGGTGGTAAATACATTTCGTGTTTATTTACCATTAGTTTTTTTTATTGAGACGTTCCAAGTGCCTGTGGGGAAACCCGTATACGCGAATGAATGAATGTACATGGGATTCCTTAGCATTATGTGTAAATACAGGGTAGAGTTACGTGGATATTATTTAAATTCATTTTAATTCTAAACGGGTGAAATTTCTCATTAATATTATTGTATACAAGTAATAGCCGTTTTTACAACAAAGGAAAGTGAACGGATAGCATGGCTGGCTGGAAACTACTAAAATGTTGTTCAGTCTGGTTCTACGTGGGGGTTGCCACATGTCTGGTATGTTAGACGGGAGCAGTTGGATGCAGTCTATATGCGTGCGGCACTCAGCATTGCAAACAAAGACTTGTCCTATTTCAGGGTTGTAGGTGACCTAAAAATGCACTTTCGGATTTAGTAATCTATTGCTGTAGTGTTGCATCCAGCCTTAACCTTGATTCAAAATAGAAATCTGGAGCAACTACTGGTTTATGCAGACGCTTTGCAAGTGTGCTGATTTCTACATATAAAAAGTGTGCCTAGGGCCTAGGCAGTAGGACAAAAAATATGTACATATTTTGTCATCGCCAATATACTAGCACACTTCATGTGCTACTTAACTTATCTTGCCTGCAGACTGGGTGTTTTTTCTATAGTTAGGCCTATAGTTACAATTGTGAGTTTTAGGAGCGTTTCTTTAAAAATAACAGGGTTGTCCAGCAATTGTAAATTATGGTGTCTACAGTCTTGGTAGATTTTGTTTGAAACTGTAGCTTGTGTTGTGAACGTCAAACTTTTCTGCAATGAACACGCGTATAATCAGGAGCTAGTTTGTCGTTATTAGCTTCTGGTATAATGTTATGATTAGCATATTCTGTATCTCATTAGTCCATGTGATGATGTTTAGTAATGCAGACACAGGTATCCATAGCCAGCAGAGTTAGGTTAGCTATAATGTCAGTCCTTCACCCATGGGTTAATAATGTTAATAATGGGTTAGTAATATCAGGGGTTAATAATGACAAATCTTAATTTGTCATTATTAACCCGGGCTGGTAATATATATGAGCTCACGCGCTCGATACAGCCTAAAACCAGCCACTCGTGTATTAGCTGCAGAGTTTGAACAACTGTTATAGCAGGTGATGTAATGCAGCCACTATAGCGTTGGGTTCTAACTACGGTCATGGGTGAAATGAGGCCGAATCAATATAATCTACGCTACCTACATGTGCGTGTGCAGACAGACGCTTAGAATTCTATGCAGGCGTGGTTTGCATGTGGGTGTTATTCGTTTATTTATTATTTCATGTTCGTTTATGATCTTTACGCGTGCATGAATGCATAATTACTAATTAGTACGATGAAATTCTAAATACTCAACCTAAAATCTTCAGAAGTGTCATAAAAAATTAGATGGGACCCAGATTTTTACACTGAAATCCCTGTGCCAACATCTATTTCCAATTCATCACTGTATGTGGATCTAATGACAGCTATGTATAATAATTGTTTTAAACTGCAAATCCATTTTTCTCGGGACAGAAGCATTACGTCAAGATCTGCCTTCTCTCTCATCTTTTCTTCACACTTTACCCCGAGATTGCACCCATGCACTTGCAACTTGCTATCTGCGTACGTGTGATGGGCGTGTGATATATATATATATATATGCTTTTTACATTTCATTTGTATGTTTTGGTATCATATATCTTTTCTTTTACAGACAAAGTACGCTCTGCTGGATGAACGTGACATTTCTCTAGTCGAGCATTTCCATTTTGAGGTACAAGTAACATATGTTTCTAGAATACTGCATTGCATTGTAAGGGGTGCAGATAGATTTAGGATTATAATTATACATACATTTCCCTGTCATTGGTTTTAGAAAGTTAGAATTTTCAATTTTTGGATCCCATTTGGTATAGTTTTGGTGGTATATAACATGAGCAACGAAATATGCATTTATAACAACGGTACAACAGGTAAAACAGATTTTAAGAATAAAATGCGTGTTCCAAGATGATGCTAGGAATACCTATTTATGAATTAAGTGATTCTGCTGAATTATTTTAAACTTCATTACTGTACTTGCTATTACAAAACAACCACACTAGTTAAAGTGGAATTGATTGCTTAGATACAAACTATTAACTCAGTTTAGAGTGGAACTGCGAGCTAATAGTGTACTGGGGTACTACTGGGTATTTGATATTATAATTGACCCCAATATTAAGCAGCACCTGGTATCAGATATAGCCTATCTATGCACCAGTGTTAAACAACACTAGCTTATAATGTCCAGTGTGTCATGAAGCGAAACTATTTCCACTGCTAAGACATTTCTAGAATGAATGGGGACAGTAAAAACGTTTCCTATAGTGATCTATTTTGCAAGGCAGCTTGTCTTATTTTTACCAAATCCTTGGGCATTCTTCGATATAAATGAGGGCCATCATTAGAGTGCACACTAAAGCAAAGTGAGATCAGTGAGTCCATATATAATGCAAATGATGACGACTGACGAGCACATAAGGGTGTATGTGCTCTTGATATGGGAAGACAGTTAGGAAGTGGCAAAAGTTCTGGTTGGCAGTGTTTATTGTTGCTCTGCTGGTCTTTATGTGTGACCCACAGGGATCTGATTTTGCGATAGCTGGTGTTAGTTTGCCTAGCGTAGTTGCTTGTGTTCTTATGTTGTAAATTATATTATGCCATCGATATTTAGGTATTTAAATGGTTATTTACAGGCTATACTATAAAGTTATAGTACAGTTATAGTTATAGTTTTTAAAAATAACAATAATCGTGTAAAATCATGCGTGATTTCATCTTGTGGGTGATATCAAGAGTAGATAATAAAACCTTATATATCTACTCTTGGTGATATGTATAACAAAGTATCTGCTTGTAATATATACTCACTGTATATAAAATAAGCTATTTATAGACGGTTAGTGCCGTTTTATTGACCATTGTCCATTGTCCCGTCCATAGTTCCCCTCGATTCCCGGCTCCCTACTAAGTGTTGGCAAACATAGTGACTGTGATACTATATACTATATACATGCACATACAAAAAAGTCATACATAATAGCAAGAGCAGATAAAGAAGTACCCTTCTTTATCTGCTCTTGATAATAGTGAGAATCGTCAGTACCAGTATTCCGTTAGACCCAGCTGTTGGCTCATATATGACGGCTATATGCGCGTGTTTTCGTGTGACAGTAGGTGACGACGGCTCGGAGAATGTTCAAGAAGGCTTTAATAGTATGTGATAGCCAACGTGATGTATATATATGCGCCGCGGCTGTGTCTGTAAATACATAAAAAATATTCGTTCAGCCGAACCCAGATCGTTATATGGGCTGAAATAAATGCTCGTTATTTTTCGCGCAAGCTGCTGACGAAAAACAAAGACCGCTGAATGAAAGGCAATTATGAATAATGAAACAAGTATTAATTAGTGATTGCGTCTGCTAGATATAAAAAATTTAATTCAGTTTGCTGCTTCAGTCGCAAACCTGCTAAGTTACAATCAAGGACTAATCTATATATTATAATCTGTTATAATCTATTATACTCTGGTAAAAATGTTACTAATTTCGGAATATCGGGGAACAATGTATACATGCCCGATCACTGAGCCAAAGTAATGGTAATTATTTATGGTGGCTGTGGAAATGGTGACCGTTGGCTCTGCGCCACGTTGGGCAATTTATGAAAAGTCTTAGAAATGCTGCTGCATGGCTGGCGTGGCACACGGAGTTCAGCAGGAAGCCCGGCAGGTGCCCGATAATGTATGGTGAGCGCAAGGCGCTTTTGTAGGTTGTTACCACCACAGGCACTTGGGACAGAGTCAGTAAAAAAAGTAATAGTAAAGTTATATATTATTATCATTATATCTTGATTATATATATCTTAAATATATATCTTTAATATATCATTATATATTATTATTATCATTATAATGACGACACAGCACACTCGCAGCGGCGAGTGCGGGAGCGTTCGGCGTTAGTTTTTACGAAGGAAAGTTGATATACATTGACACAACAGTGGAAATGTAATTGAGAGGTACGGTAGTATTTGTGAATGTGCGTTCATATTATTTTCAGATTTTACTGACTCTGTCCCAAGTGCCTGTGGTTACCACATGCTGGTAAATACTTTGCATATGAGTAATCAGATGTGTTGGCGCATTACATGGCGTTTATATACGGAGGATGTTTGACATTGATAACAGGAACTAATACAAAATATGTCTTAGAATATTCCTTGTTAGTTGTTGTGGAATGTGGATGCATACTAAATTTTCGTGTACGTTTACATGCTTATCTTCGGTGCTATACTGCAAGAGTACGGCTGGTTTTTATGTTTGTGGGTAACTTTACGTCCCCAACGTCTGATGGCAAATAGAAAAATCACAAGATGTGCGGGCGTGCTTTCCCCTACCCCGCCACCGCCGCTGTCGCGAGTAAACGAGCTACGGTCAGTCTATGCAAGTCGATAGCGGAGCACTGAAAGTTCACTGCGGTGCTTGCTTTGACGCTTCCACAAATGACGGTGCTGGGGTCAGGCGACGGACAGACTAACCGTAACGTCACTGCAACGCTAGCAGACTGGCTTCTTGCAATTGTATTGATCTACTAGGCGTATAAAAAAATTTGTAGCCAGCAGGCTGTGGAGAAGTTGACCGCTGAGAGGTTACGGTACCTGGTACGCATTGGCGCTATAGGCTAACTTATACGGCCGATTACAGTAAGGTGAAAGTGAAAGTTATCAGCAAAATCGACCAAGTCATGCCATCAAGAAAGAAATGCAGAGGCGACGCAGGTATGTGTGTGTGGGTGTAACACAACAGACTTTGATTACGCTATAAAAAAAATCATAGAACGAAATTATCAATCTGCAACATACTGAAAAATAATATTAACACAAGTCTTGTCTCATATCTCGTAGATAATAGTGTAAAATCTAATAACTTAAACTAACCAAATGTTAGTAACAGTAGGAACAAGAATACCGCTTAAAATCAAGAAGCTGAGGTCTGATATGAGATACAAATTTGCAGCTGTATGGTGAACGTATTCTGTTCTTCTGGTATTATGTCTCACAAGAAGAGTACTAGACGGACTGCACGGCTGTGTTCTTATGCATTGATGTATCCTAGTATATATAGCATATCACATCACTTTTACTGTATTCTGATAATGATCTGATTACTGTATTCTGATATGATAATATATTGATGGAAACTTGATAAAAGGATTCATTGTTGCGAAATGTACTTAAATTGCAAAGGTTTTTTTATTAGCATTAGCAAATATTAGACAGGTTTTACAGTCTGGTAACCACAGCACTAGTATACTAGCAGTACACACAGACGTCACAGTGCACTAAAGGTTATCAGTCCGTAAAACTTGCCTTCATACCATGTGTTTGTTTAACGATCGTTGGTTAGATGATTGATTTTAGCTTGAGGAATATGTATAATAATGGAGAAATCAGTCATCGTATAGAAATTTGTTGTCTCCGAACCCTGTCCTATGCCTAGAGATGTGTTGTCTTGGTGTGGCGGTGTGTGCCTCTGCTTACACAATGATTCGGCAGCCACCTGGCTCAACAGCTGTGACCAGAGACCACACTTGTGCTCCGTAGTCGATGTGCGTACTGTAACTACTCGATAATGCTGCTGCTGCTGCTGCTGCTGCTGCTGCTGCTGCTGCTGCTGCTGCTGCTGCTGCTGCTGCTGCTGCTATCCATTACGTAATGTGGGGATGTAGCGATTTACATAGCACAGCCAGCAAACCAATGATGAGATTCTGATCGTCCCAGTTGACCCTCCTTTTTTACATCATTCGACTTATTGGTTACTGTTTGTAATAGCTTTATGAGATTGTGGTGTACGTATTATCCCTCAAGTTATATGAGTAAACATAAAAAATCACCACCGATTTATTTACATGGTGGTATCTGCAGATAAAAACTCAAAACAATACTCATATTAAAACAAACCAATTAATACCAAATGCAATGCCCACGTGCGCATCAAGACACGTTGGTATTGTTCGTGTTGTGATGCGATATGTATGTGGATGAAGATTAAAGGTGTTGCCGCCACAGATTTATGCTGGTACTAGCGCTAACGCAATTCCACTGTGATGTTAACTTTGATCTCCTGAAGCCCAGTTCCTATTCTGACAAATTGATGATTCTGTTTGAATCATGGAGCAGTAACTCTGGACAGCAAACGTTGCACATTCTCTCTCCTATCTCTCGATTTCTTACGATGCGTTTATCGGGTGGAAGGTGTCATTATAGGAACAATTTCTTGGAACAAAGCCCGTGCCACCCGCTGTGCTGTTGTGGCGCGCAGGGGTGGGGAGGGACAGAGGAGTTATATTGAGACAGAGGGCACACGCCGTGTGCTGCTCCGACCAGTGTGCCGGTGCGCGACGAATGCAGCATGCTTCTCTCGCACATCTACAGCTGAGAGAGAGAGAGAGAGAGCACACGCCGTGTGCTGCTCCGACCAGTGTGCCGGTGCGCGACGAATGCAGCATGCTTCTCGCACATCTACAGCTGAGAGAGAGAGAGAGAGCGAGAGAGAGAGAGAGAGAGAGAGAGAGCGAGAGAGAGAGAGAGAGAGAGAGAGAGAGAGTGAGCGTGAGATATCATGAATGCTGAATGGTGGAGATGTTACATG